GCGAACCTCCCCAACGGACCTTTCCAGCGCCTCCCCAACGGACCTTCCCAGCGGACAAGACCTCGTCGACCAGACACAACCGCCGCCATGTTTCTCTTCACCATGTTCTTCGTCTTTTGGCGCATCCTCCAGATCCTCACCCTCATCCCCACCATGGGCATGCTCGCCTGGTTCGTCCACGGCTTCGTCGAGGCCAACGCCCTGACGCCCAACTACATCCTCGTCCTCTTCATCGTCTCCGTCCTCGCCCTCGCCTGGGCCATCTTCACCCTCTTCTCCTACCACCGCTCCTCGACAAACGCCACCATGGTCGCCATCGTCGACCTCCTCTTCGTCGGCGCCTTCATCGCCGCCATCTGGTACCTCCGCGGCATCCGCCTCCAGAGCTGCAGCAACGTCTCGCGCGACGCCAACTGGCGCGTCGACTTTGCCGGCCTCTCCGTCTCCGGCCCCGACTGGGACCTCAACACCGACAAGCCCTGCGCCATGCTCAAGGCCAGCTGGGCCTTTGCCATTATGAACTGCATCATGTTCTTCTTCACCTCCGTCCTCGCCTGCATGAACGGCGACCGCCTCGGCGCCTCCTCGTCCTCCCACCACCACGACCGCAAGTCCTACCGCGACGGACGCTACCACGGCAGCCGCCGCAGCCACAGCCATCACAGCCACAGCCGGAGGAGCTCGCACTCCCGCAGGGTCTACGTTTGAGTGCTGGCGGGCGTGTTCCTGGGCGTGGAGATTTGCACACTGTTGACGAAAAGAAAACGTCACGATACGAAAGAAATGCACAGCCATGTAATGACTACTTTCCCTCACTTACTTTTGGTCATGGCGCTTGGATGAATATAGGGGGTCGTGGGACATGACAAACACCGTTTCTATTTTTGACGACTTTCCTACCGACCTCTTGGGTCCTCATGTCTTGCTGTTCTTACTGTCTATCCATCGTCCCTTTCTTCTTTTTAGAGCGAGGAAACTCAGTCACAGACTTGGCTGAGCCGGTCCTGACCGACGGTGCATGTATATCGACTGAATTCATGATCATATGACGAACAATCTCCCTCGCCTCTTCGCCCGTAAAGTGAATCGTGCCCATTTTGTACGCCGACCAAATATATGTGTGTGTGTGTGTGTGATTCTCCATTGCCCAAGCTCCGTCATGCCCGCGATGTGTCGTCGCCAACCGTGTACCCCCGCGCCACACCACTGCGGCCCTCCTCAATCGTCGTGCTCTCCTCCGCCGGGTCGTGGTCCGTCCCGAGACCCTGCCACGTGCGCTGCGACCGCAGGAATTCCGCGCCAGGGCTGAGCACGCCGTTGATCGTCGCCAGATCGCCCGCCTGCCGCTTGACGAGCGCCTCGGACGGCCGATCCAACGTGGCACCGGCCGCGTCCGTCTCGGCAGGACCGTCGGCCCGCGGCTTGAGGCGGCCGCCGACCGCCACCTTCATCGGCCGGCTTGCGACCAGACGGCCCGTGCGGAGATCATACTCGGGCGGCGCCGATTCCTCGTCCTCAACCCCACCTTCGACCTCTTCCGTCTCGACCTCCGGAGCGTCAGCGGTTGCCTCGTCTCCGCTCGCCGGGGCCCTGACCTCCTCGGGCTTGAGCTTCTCTATACCGGCCCACCACTCCAAGCCCCAGATCCTCTCCTCGGGCGGCAGTAGCGCGACTTCCATCTCAAACGGCGTGATGACGGGCCGGTAGAAGCCCGCGTCTTCCTCGACGAGCCCGCTCTCCCAGCACCCGACAACGACCCAGCCGTCGACCTCGGCAAAGTTGGCCAGCTTGGCCGGGTTCAGCTTGCCGACGACGATCGTGTAGCTCTTCTTGCCGGCGGCGGCGGATGCGCGCGCGCAGCAGGTCGAGCGAACGCAGCGACCCGTCGAGGGAGAGCGTGTTGACGAGGATGCCGACGATGCTGGCGCTGGCGAGGGTCAGCACGCGAGCGAACCGCCGGCGCAGGAGGGCCGCTGTGTGGAAGGTCGGATCGTCGGTTGTTGGTGTCGCGGTCGCCGTTGAGAGGACGTGGAGGGATGCGAGACGGGTCTGGAGGGCCAGGAGGAGCGCTGGAGGCGGGGTCGATATGTGGAAGAGGGCGTGTGAGGGTAGGTCCATGTCGGTTTCAAGCGAAGGAGAGTGTTCGGCTGTTGATGAAGGGTCGTCCGCCGTCGCGATACGTCTGTTTGGAATCGTGCCGGCTGGGTCGTGGACCACGGTGGTGTGGAGGAGGTTGGTGTAGCCACGGGTACGCAGCAGGTCGGCTACGTCGTGGACGTGGTCTTGGTATGTAATGTCGGCCATGAGAATGACCTTGGCCGCCTTGTCGGGGAACGTGGCCTCGAATTGGGAGGCAACTGCATCGTGGTCGAGGGGGTGGTGGGTGAAGACGTAAATCACAGGCAGGCGGGAAGTCGGGGAGAGACACGAGCGGCCGTAGTGCACGACGACTTGGGCGTCGGCGTGTTCGGCAGCAATCTCGTCGACGCAGCAGGCGCTATAGGGATGTGTCGGCTAGGATGTAGATGCGCTCCGTTTGCGGAGTCTGAGCAGAGGTCATCGTCGTGAGGCCCGTCTCTGTCGCTTCCCCAGACGCCGGGGGTGCTGGCTTGCTGTTTTGTCTTTCTGGCCGCCGCAGTGTCTTCTGCTAT